GTGTGTGTGTGTGTGTGTGTGTGTGTGTGTGTGTGTGTGTGTGTTGCTGTGGGTTGAACTCAGGGCCTTCCTGCATGCTAACCAGGCTAACCACTTAGATACACTGCCATCTAAGCCCTGCTATGCAAATAAATCGTATGGGTAAATGGGTATAGTAATACAAGGAATGGTACCAATGATAATATCACTATCAGAATTAAAATGTTTCCTGTCAATATCATTTAGATTACAGTCAGAAAGACCAAAAATATATTCTGTGGTATCAGAGTTATTGACTCTGTTCTATCCTATGCATTTATGTATATAAAATTAAACCTTAAATCACTTTTAAAGAATAACCAAAAAACTTAAAATAGTTCTTCATAAGTAATTTTGAAGTAGTTTGGAAGTTCTGGGAAATGTATTTTAACTCACAGACTTTGGATCAATAAAGTTGTCTGATTAATGTCCTCCAAGATGTGCAGATCTGAGATTGACATGAAAATCAGAGAGATATATCAAAAATTGTATGTGTGTGAATGTGTGTCTTTGTGTGTCTGTGTGTCCATGTGTGTCTTTGTGTGTGTGTGCGCGTGCGTGCGTGCGTGCGTGCGTGCGTGCGTGTGTGTGTGTGTGTGTGTGTGTGTGTGTGTTTAATTTCTGGCTTTTGGTACTTGGATTTGAACCCAGGCCTCAGGCATGCTAATCAAATGCTTAGCCACTGAGCAGCCCTGTGTCAGAAGCAATCAGTCAGGACTGTGTGGCACCCTTGGTGGAAGTGTTTTATAACCTCTGAACAAATGTTTCATAACGGAAGACTTATTTTTAGGAAAGGGTGGAGTCTGAGAATACCAAGAGATTATTTTTTAATACCAGACCACAAATGAGAACTCTAAAAGCTTGTGTCGTGACTGTGTTTTCTGGTGGACTTTATAGGCCTTTTTGGTTGGCATTGTCGTGCCTGACCCTGAAGTCATGCCTGCCTGGGCTCATAAGAAAGGAATCAGAGGGACCTATCAGGAGCTTTGCGCAAATCAGGTCTGTACCCCCTGTGCTTCCTGACGGGTTGCCGAGCACTTCATGAGTCACATAACCAGGGGACAGGAGAGCTGACAGCAGTGAGGTCTAACTGCATACTGAGTGTCTGCTGTTACTTTCCACGTGCTAGGAACCCTAAACCAGAGGTTTGTCGTCTTGTAGTTGCTGAAGTTATTCCTGTTGACTTCCTAGAAATTGAGTAAGCCATCGAATTCTTAGGTCCAGAACCATCACACAAAGTTTATCTAGCCTATTGTCCCATAGCTTGAAAGGAGAGGAGGTGGCGTGTCCCAGGCCACACAGATGGTCCATAGCAGAGTCGGATGTCAACACAGGCTTTCTGCCAAGACAAGGTGGATCTCTGGGTTGAGAGGTAGTGATAGAATGGAAATAGCAACACGGCTCTTCCGCCTTAGAGCATCCACCATGCCTACCTTCACGGCACTGTCTTAGGCACATGTCTCGGGAGGACTGTTGTTCTGTGCTTCAGCAGCGGACATAGGCTGGCATCTCTGGGTCCACTTTCCCTCACTGAGCCCTGAGCTCGCATAGGAGTGGGAGCCCTTCGGGCTGACCAACAGAACACTTCAGGTATGCCCTGACTCATTCACAGTGACCTCTGTGGCCGTCTGCATCCCTTTCTCTCCTGATGAGAGATAGTAATCGGCATGGCACCAGGTCACCCTCAACAGGGAAGGGGCTGAGAGAACATATGTCTGCTCGGCCACTGGTCAACCTTACTTCAAAGCCTTATTCCTGCTATCCCCATTGAAATGTGTTCTTACTGGTTTGCTCCCATGGTTCAATTCAGGAGCTGAAGAAAGCCATTCTGGACGACATGGTGGCGCTGGGGAAGAAAAGTGGACTCCATTCCTTTGAACAGGTAACTGTGCCCTTTCCCACACCCATGACATCACTTTGCATAGGAGCCTGGTGACCCTGACCTCTATAGACTCTTGCCTCCGTGGTGTGGCCATCTGGAAGGCTCTACACGACAGACCCCCGAAGGCCTGTTTCGAGCAGACTGCAACTGCCTGCTCCTGAACTAAAATAGGTCACTGGACAAGTAAGACTGTGCTTGCTGCCCTTCTAACCGCGGGCGATCATAAGGCTGAAATAGAAGCCTTGCTGTCACTGGCAGATCACGTGGGCCTGCTTGGGCTCCCGAGTGCCCTACCTTATTTTTACTTTTATGGGCACGGCCTTCTTGGCAGCTTACTTGCTAGGAGGACAATATCGGCCCAGTGGCCTTCTGCAAAGGAGGAGGAAACAAAGTACCCACAGAGAAAGGACACTCAGTTCCTCTGAGACCTACTGTAGCTGGGCTCAGGACTGAGCATGCTCAGTCCTACTTCATGTATCATCTATGCGCTTGAGTAAAAGCCAAAGAGAAAAAGTTCCAAGCAGAAAATAGTAATACACTGATAGAAATTTTTATCCTTTGGATTTTGAAATAATTGTCTTTCATAAAATCAGCATTTCATAATTTTATAGTAGGGGGGAGACGACAGTGAGATGGCCCAGCAAGTAAAGATGCTTGCTGCCACACCAAATGACCTGAGTTCAGTCCTGGGTCCCATATAATGGAAGGAGAGGACTAACTCCTCAAAGTTGACCTCTGAACTCCACATGCATGTGCAAATTCACTCATACAGAGAGACAGAGAGAGACACACACAGAGAATTGTAACAGAAATTTTTCACCAATCATGGTGGCACACGCCTTTAATCACAGCATGTGGGAGGCAGAGGCAAGCAGATCTCTGTGAGTTCAAAGCCAGCCTGGTCTACACAGCAAGTTCCAGGACAGTCAGGGCTCTGTAGAGAGATCCTGTCTCAAAAACAAACAAACAAACAAATGTTTTCGCATAAAAAATGTTCCCAAAATATAGTATAAGGAATCTACAAGGCTTATAAGAATTTTAAATTTTTGTATATTTGTTTGATGATGGCTTAGAACTAGTTTTAAATTGGTTTTAAATGAAAATTCTTATGTTTAATCTGAAATTAAAATGTGTCTATGTACAAAGATTTCTTTTTAATTTTTTTTTTATTGTTGTTTTGCTTTGGTTTTGGACAGGGTGTCATGTTATAGTAGTTTCTGGGCAGGGCAGGCTGGCCTGCTACTTATCGCATAGACCAGGATGGTCTTGAGCTCATTGCAATCCTCCTGTCTCAGCCTCCCAAGTATTCAGATTACAGGCCCAATCTACCTACCACATCCAGCTACAGTTTTAATTTCTTAACTTCAAGCTAAAGAAACCTAAAATAGTTTCAGTGTTTGAGATTATTTTTCTCTTGAAACAGATGTTTAAATTAAGCCAGTTTGAGAAATAAACTTTCATTTGTCAGTAACTATTTTAGGACAGCTACAGCTTGAATTTGAAGGGTCCCGGCTGCTTACTTTATTTTTCAGAGTAGAAGGTCCATTTTTGTCACTATGATTATTTCAATCTCCAAATTTGGTAGAACTTATTTTGTTGTCTTTCCTTAATGGGGATCTGTGTCACTGGACCACATGTGACCGTGTGGTCCAGGAGCTACCCCTGAGTGGTCCCAGACCCTGCAGTCTGGGGTGATTTGAAGGACAGACTGGGGACTCCACCTGGGTACAACCTTGTGGATTCGTAAGCCCTGCACGCCCTCTGTTGGTGATAGAATGCATAACCTGCACCAAGACAATGGTAAAACCCGCACACAGGGGGAGGGAGTGAAAGGGGTTGAGAGGATGGTGTGTGTGTGTGTGTGTGTGTGTGTGTGTGTGTGTGTGTGTGTGTGTGTGTGTGTG